CTCACAGGGTCCATGCCGATCCGTCCGTCGGACAGCCTCGCCCCCAGTCTCCCCCTCAGTTCGTAGACCCACCCCTTCGCCTATCTTCCCTCCGGCTTGCCTCCGATAATCACGACTCCCTTCATGCTCGCATGAGCGCGTTGATGAGCGAACAGCGGTCCTCTGCCGGTCGTATCCGTAGCGACGTCGGGTTTGTAGTCCGCGAGATCTACGACTTGGGCCGTTCCGTCCGCCTGATCACCGAACCTGATGGTGCTTTCGGGGGTGCTGCCGGAGGGAACGTAGATCCGGAGGAGAGTTCTGTCGGAGGCCCGGAGGGTATCGACGTCACCGTTCCGGAGATGTTTGACGGAGGGAACACTATTTCGTAACGCGGAGGAGAGTTCGGTCGGGGCCCGGAGGGTATCGACGTCACCGTCCCGGAGATGTTTGACGGAGGGAACACTGTTTCGTAGCGTACCCTTGGCTTGTAGTCGTTCGTGACTCTCTGAATGAACGGCCGGTTCTTGTGCCGTTCCTTCCCTTGTGCTATACGTTGCCTTACGGGGCTGGGCTACGTCCCTGCCCCACACATCAGCAAATCTGCGCGGGTTCTGAGGGCGCCTGAGGGATCTGAGGCGTCTGATCCGGTGCCTGAGAGCTCTATCGCATCTGACGCAATCGGGCGTCTATGGCTGCGCCATTCGTCCCTCTCCGTCTGCTCGTTCCGTGCTCGTTCCCTCAGAGCGACGCAGTCCACTCAGACCCGTCAGACCCGTCAGACCCTCCAGGCGCGACCTCAAGCCACCCACATCGAATCTCCCCAAGTCCACTAGGCGCCTGCCCTAAACTGCGCCACGCTGGCACCTCGCCACGTCATCGTTCCCTCGCCTCTCTGTCGTGTTACTCGCCTTTCAATTCCCCACCTCCTGACTTGTTGCACTGCGCTGTTCGTCGCTGAACACGCAGCGGCTGCAGAAGGGCCTGTCGCGACGCGCGATGCTTCCGGAAGGGTGCACAAGCGCCGGCTTGCCCGCAGCCACGATGTGCGGCTACGATGCACAGCGAGTGGACACCATCGCGAGGGCCACGCCTCCCACCTCCGCCATGCCTCGCTCGCCTCCCTTCTCACTGCCTCATCACTCTTTTACATCTACATACACACCCTCGGGCAGCCCACAGAATCGCAGTGCATCGGCCTACTGCATGCAGATGAGCAGAACATTGCGGGGAGAGGCCGCGCGATCCAGATTCTATGCCCAACAGTGTCGCGCGTCGGGTGGACAGCGTTCGGAGGAAGCAGGGCTGAGACAGAATGAGTAAGTTCCCTTTCCACTCACTCTCCCTCGTTGCCCTGTCATTCATGTACTGTCACCTGTCGCCCGCTACCCGCCGCCGGCTCATACTGGCAGATGCTGGCTGAGTCACACTCGAAAAACCCCCGCCATGCTTCACCGACATGCACCCCTATACGTCGGTTTTGCGCGCCCACAGCAGTGCTGTAGGTGGGCTGCCTACCTCGTCTCGGACGCACCAAAAGCATTCCGAGGTTGTATACCGCACGTCAGACGACCCCGCGCAAGAGTGAGTTCGTCACCTCGTGCTCTATGCCCGCCGCCACGTCACCGCCTTCGTTATAAACCATACCTCCACCATCGCACCACCCCGCCCTCTACGCCTTGCGGACGCACCGAACACATGCCGAGCACGAACACAAGACGACCCCGCATCACAGCGGGGGCGTCCATTCACTTCGTACTGCCCTCCCCACCCCCACATCTCTCCTCGCTTACTACCGCCCTCCGGCTGCCCGTCACACGTCTCGCACGCATCTGAAGTGTGCCGCGGTCTTGGCACAAACAACGGGCGGCCTGCGGAAGAGCGGGGCCGTCTGTCCGTTTGCCACCACCTTCCCAGTCCACCCCCGCTGTCCCAGCGTCCCATGCGTCCCGGCGCGACAACGGGACATCTGGTCGCAAGATCGGGCCCTCCCCGCCACGTCACCGCCTTCTCGCCATGCCTCAGCCCTCCTACCTCGCCGCACCGCCCTCTACCATGCGGCCGGTGAGCGTGTGGGCGAGCGAGCAGACGGCGGGAGAGCGGGCGAGCGAGCAGACGGCGGGCGGGCGAGCGGGCGGGCGAGCGGGCGGGCGAGCGGGCGGGCGGGCGGGCGAGTACGACTGACGAATGTAAGGTGGGCACGGAACAATCGTGGGTGGCCGCGATGGGCAGGGCGCGCGCACCGCACGCCAACCACGAGCACCTACACGACTGCCCATGGATCCACGACCCGGCGTGGGCATCAGTTCGCTGAACCTCGGCACAATAGCCCGACGCCCAGCAAGTGGAGCATCGTCGGAAACGGCAAGCACAGTGGCGAAGGGAGGGTGGGTATGTGGGTGGACAGACAGGTAAGAGCACGATGAGTACTAGCTGGTAGTTTGCAGTGTATTGTATGTACTATTAGTACTACGTTCTGTTACGCTCTAAGCAGCAGTCTGACGACCATCTGAAATGGTCTGAGTGATGGTCTGAAGGCCGTCTGACATCAGAGATAGCTTCTGATGTCAGAAATAATCTCCCGTTGTCAGACGCGAAGTCTGACGGGTCTGAGGAGTCTGAGTCAGTACTCTCAGACTGCTTCAGACAAACTCGCAGTTTTGCTGATGCAGCGCTCGACCTCGCCGCTTATTATCGTGATTTCTACATGATCTCCGAGTACCTCATCGCTCAGGGTTCCCTCTCGACGCTCGAACAAGATCGAAGGTTCCAGCAAGGCTTTCCCCCAGCGCTTTGGGGACCGATTGAACAACGCTTGTTCATGAAGAACCCCGACCACTCGAGACGCAAGCCATGGACCTTCGCGCAGATATACATCGCCGCTCAATGGGTCCTAGACGGCCCTACCCCCGCTTCGACGTTTCAGCAAGTCATAGTCCAATCTTCGAACGTCCCCTCAGGTCCTTCGAACGCCGCACCATCTTCTTCGTCTGGCGTTAAGAACGAAGACCTCCTACCAGTCTTGCAGACGCTGATCAAGACTCTCGAGGCTCAGCAGTTTAGGAGTCGGTCACCCGGACCACCTGGTGGTAGAGACGGCCCTCACTGCTTCTACTGCGGTCGTTCGGGCTGTCGCATCAACGACTGCGAAATGTTCGAAGACGATGCGAAGAAGGGCTTGTGCCGGAGGAACCCAGACGGCAAGGTCGTGTCGTTCGACGGTCGATTCATGAGCAGGAGAGAGGGCGAGACCCTCCGCGACGCCATCTATGAGTACGCGCGCCGCACCGGCAAGGTCGGACTTAACGCGAACACTTCGAACGGTTCGGGCGGCGCCACCCAAGCTTCGACTACCTCCCAGCTACTCTACGAAGCGATCGAGACCCCACCGACTGCGACGTACGCCTTAGACATTGGCGAGACCCTCGAACGTATGCGAGACCAGTTGTCACATATTACGGAGGTCTACGCCCAGGAACAGCGGAAGAAGCACGTGTTCGACGGCGTCATGATTGACAAGAGGCCGCAGCGTTCCACGGCCCGTCCTGCGAACTTGCCCACCGATAAGTCACGAGCTCCGGACTCCCGAGGCTCTTCGAAGGAGCGTACCGTGCGCTTCGCTTCGCCGCCTGTGTCGAGCCAGCAAGCAGCACCGATCGAGACCCCACCCACGCGTTCGAAGAGTGCAGAGCGTACCGGTCCACCGCCGAGAGCTTCGACGCCACCTGCAGACTCTAGGCCGAGCGTCCAGGCCTCGGCGCCACCAGCGCAGTCAGTGCCCGACAAGGAGAGTCCGATCCATCCCTTCGCAAATGTCCGCGACGCGATGTGGGGAGTGCCCCCCACATAGGCCCGGACAGTACGTATATCCCTTATTTTGAGCTACCTGGTCAGTGCCATTCCCTCCGAGCATATTGACAACCTTCGCTATTCCTTCCGATACCCCATTTCTATTGTACCTGACGGACTTCGTGCGATTTCGCATTACTTACCATATATAGCAAGTACCTACTATTAGTCAGCTTCGGCGGCATACAGTGCCACGAAGACATGTACATAGCTCAGTTCTCCCCACCTCCGAATCTAGACATCTGCGAGCACAGCTTGTGGGTCCCTCATACATTTGTTGGAGCTGGGAGAGGCTCCCCGGGTTGGTCAACAGTGACCTTCTTGGGCAATCAAGGATCTTCGGACGTGCACGGTGCCACGTAATCGAGAAAAGACAAGTCCTACGACTTGGAGGCCAGGACAGCTCGGAGGATACAGGACCCGGACAGGGACTCGCGGAACGAGTACAGGAGCTTGCGGAACGAGTACGGGAGCCTGCGGAACGAGTACAGAAGCTCGCGGAACGAGTACAGGAGCTCTCGGAACGAGTACAGGAGCTCGCGGAACGAGCATAGGCGGCTGCAGAACGAGCGTAGGAGCTCGTGGAACGAGCGTAGGAGCTCGCGGAACGAGCGTAGGAGCTTGCGGAACGAGCACAGGAACCCGCGGAACAAGGAAGGCGACCACGGAACGAGAACGAGACAACCGCGGAACGAGTTTAGCGACTTGAAGGGCAGCGACTGCAGAGCCAGAGTGGGGCACCTTCGGAACGAGAACAAGGACAAGAACGAGACAGAGCTTTAGAGTCCACGGAGCGAGTTGGGAACGGAGTCGTCAGCGAGGCTTGGAGAACCGAGGACAAGGTCAGTAACCCTGAGGCATCGTTGCAAGATCATTTCTCGGCACATCTCCCCTCCACTCTCAAAACCCCTTCCACCCATGTCACCTCCAATCTGGGAGCAGCGAAATGACCCACCCCTCGAACATCGCGCCCGGGGGTACCACACTCCCGAGCTACACAACTGGAGCCCACCGCGAGGGGTGGTATCCTATTCATGCTTCTTCCGCTCCGCCTATAGCTTCGCGTCATCGCATTCACAGCACAGGCAAGCACCCACCATCCAATACATTGGCTTCCCATCCACTACGAGTACGTCACATATGGAACGAGGGCCCGCCGCGCGCGATCAAGACACGGCCAGAGTCACTACCGGGACTGTGTACAGGCGAGCCACCATCTACTATACCCTCCATCACCAGTCCACCATTACGGTGCATGCGGAATCGACGCCAACGCGCGCAGCAGACGTAGTCGCGAGATCAACCGGGGCAACGGTACGGTTCGGGTCTATTACGGAGTCGGTGACTAGTGGTCTCGGAGACAACAGCACGTACACACTCGACGGCGTCTTCACAGCCTCAGCATCTGCAACCCAGAATTACGAGCGAGCTACGGGACGCGTGACTGTGAACTTCGAGCCAGTTACGGCACAGGCAGGCGACGATCATCTCGCGAAGCACACATTCATCGCAAGCAGCATTATCGCCCAATCCACACAGATGCGGAACCACAGCGTTCACGAGGCTCGACCAGCCGCACGCTCGAGCATTGCCGCGGACGGACAGAGACTGAAGACGACGACATGTATACAGGAGCGAGTCCCTGCGCGTACGGGCAGCAACTTAGTGGAGGACGCCTCTCGCGGTACTGGCAGGACACCCGACCCGGACGCCCACGTCACCGTACACCCGCATGCTCAGCGAGGCAGCTCACTCGGGCTTCGCGAGTTCTGGAGTGGAGTAGCAACTCTCGCGGCGAGGAAACACGAAGAAGCTACTCCGCATAAGAGCCTCACCATGACGGCGAGAGCCAGGGCGAACACGAGTAACGACGGTTTAAGCATACTTGCATCTGGAGGCACGCGCAGAGGTATAACTGCCGGTTTGCGAGGGCGACACACGATGGATAGAAGAGCTAGTAGGCAGGCGTACGTGGGTTATGGAGGCTCTATCACAAAGGTACCTACGGACACGTCGGGGAGCAGTCCACATCCGCTCGACGAGTTCTTCCTCGAGATATTGAGGCTCACAGCGAGGACGTTCGAGCGAGACAACGGGCCTGCGGGAGATAGACTCGCTAGGATCACGGCCACGCAGCTTAGTGACGCAATACCTTCGGACGCGACTGTCAGTCCCGCGAACTCGGAGCAAGCGACGGCGCACCAGTACGACAGGTCGGAAGGAGTTGCAGCGGCGAGCAGAGGGCAGGACAAGCAATCAGCTTCGCGAACGCCACTGCGCCAGCTTGTGAACGTCAGCCCCAAGTCAGCATACAAGAGTCGGAGCGAATGTACGACCGGCAGATCCTGGCGCCCAGCGAGTAACCAAGCACGCGACCAGGGGATTCAGGGAACAGGGCATATGAGCGACACTAGCATGGAGCACGAGGGTATGCGCGAGCGAAAGGGGCGAGCGCGGGAGGCGAGCCAGCAGATGCCATTGGCTGAGGTGCAGACCGCGGCGGAGGCGTACACGACAGACCACCTCTTTACGGTCGAGGACGATCCCCCGCGGCCCAAGGAGCAAACCAGGACGGAAACGCAAGCATCAGGGCAGGCGCGGGATGTGATTACGGAGGTTACACTCACCGGCGGAATCGCTACGAGGGGCGGCGCGTGCCCTGCAGTGGTCGGTTGCCGACACAGGACCCCGTTCGGCGAGGTACTGGCTCTGATACGAGGAGACCGAGGAGGAACGGAAGCGCCGCACCTAGTCGACCTAGTGCGGACCTACGGATACTCGAGTGTAAGCAACATCGGACGAGAGAATGACGAGAGAATGGAGACTTCTGGACGCGGCACAAGCGGGGCGTCGAGCGGGCGAGACGGGCTAGGACCACGAGAGAGAGACTCACGGCGGGCGGGGGTTGCATGCAAGGACCTAGCGGCGACGGGTATTGCGGAAGGCCGGGATTTCGACGGCGAGCTAGGCCGTGACGAGAAGAGGATGGCGGGCGGTGAGACTTCAAGTGCAGCCACTGGTAGCGCATGCAGCAGGGAACAGCAAGAGGTCGGAGAGTTCTTGGTCGCGGCGAGACGAGTCTTCAAAACTGGAAACGACCGGCTGAGGCTATATCAGCAAGCTGCACAGGTGTCGCGGGTGACGAGGCGAGTCGCGATAACATCGGTAGAGGATGGGCGTACCGGGAGATGCCATCCGACAGGCAGCGGTCCACTCTCCTCGCTAGCCGAAGACTCCACGGCAACTCCACGAGGCGCACCATGCATGCAGGCGGAGGAGACGTACGCGTTAGACGTCCGGGAAGATACTCTAGCACGAGACGGCGCAACGGCGGACGCGCTTGATACGCGTAAGGAGCAGGAGCGACAGGCGCAGGCGTTCAGAGGGGTCGTGATTCGAGCGACAGAGATTGAACTCACCTATGGGGTCTCCTCCACCGACTACGCGTACCCCGGACATTCATCTCCCTCCGCGAGAACGGTCTTGTATGGGCAGGAGCATGCGACGAGCACATTGGAGCTCGGAGTTGACGACGCGCTTCTTTTGAGCACACAGCGGATCGGTGATGGACGCGACTGCGGCCGGGAGTGCGCCAATCTGGCGAGGGCCCAAGAAGGGGGCATCATCGCGATGCACGAGAGACAGTACGACGGGAACCGGGGCGAGGACTACAAGCAGTCGCAGATAGAGTCGGTGGAGAGAGGACTCAGGCGAGAGACGATCGCTCAAGCGCCCGAACCACGGTCTGCACAGCCTACTGGCGTCTCGCTGGTCACTCAAGTCGAAGATTCGGCGCGGGCGTTCTCGCAGTTCCCGCGTCTCTTCAATACTACTAACCTGTACGCACTCGGTTCTATCGGGCAAAGCGCGAGATGCCCTACGGCGGTTCATGGTTGCCAGACCGTAAGATCAGAGGGAACCGCGTACGAGACGTACAAGTTGGAGTGCCACGATCAGGAGGTCCTAATCCGAAGTGAAGCAGACACTCGAGGCGAGCGACCCAGGGATACGCAGGATGTCAATGTCTCCAGAGGAATGGGATGGACTGATCTATGGGCAAGTGAGTCGCCGGAACAGTCACGACGGAACGAAGGCGATGCAGCGGGTCTGGGCATTGACATGCAAGCACCGAGGTGCCAGCAGGCGGACTCGGCGATCGCAAACTCGTTACCGGAGGGAACGCTCACTCACGGACCTGTTCCAAGGGAAGAGCTGACGAGGCAGGCGAGCTGGTGCCGCAATTCACGCCAGTGCATTGCGTCGGAACGAACGGCATGCGGAAGCAGGAAGGATAGCATCGAGAGTCTAGCGACGGACACAGAAAGGACGGGGTTCGAGCACGGCGCGTTACGGAGGAAACAAGACGAGTTAAGGAAGACGGCGAGACGAAGCATTGCCGGGCGGGATGGTCCTCGGAGGGAAGGAATCAGGACGCGAAGGGAACGTCAACATTCGGACGAGTCTCAACGGAGGCTGGAATCACCGACAAAGCCCCACGACCAGTCGCTGGCTTGCGGGACCGTTGTTCTCGCGAGCCTGGGCCATTGTATTCGCACGGAAGGAGACCGTTCACGTACGCGAGGCTTCAGTGGGAACAACGTCCCTTCCGACGCGATCTAAGGAGGAGGGAAGGACAACCGGCGTCTACAAGGATCGGAAGTGGGAGAGGGCCGACATGATGCGGAGTTAGAGCCTGCTGTGAGTGACCAGGACCAGCGGAGGAGCGAGGCAACTGGCATTCAGAAGTACAGCTGGACATGACGGGACGTATCGAGGACGCGGGTACAGGAAGTCGAGCTCGAGTCACGCGGTCGGTCGAAGTGAAGAGCATCTATTGCGAGGCTACCTACAACAGACGGACGAGCCGAACCCTCACGCCTACGGGAGAGTCAAGGCACGCCCACTCGGAAGTCACGGCGAGCCAGCAAGTTCTGTCTAGCGAGACGGGACGCGGATACGGGAGCGAGAGCACGGACAGCCGAGCAGTTGCGGGTACGCACGGGCGAGCTCAGAGACGGAGATGCGCCGGAGGAACAACGAGAGCGAGACGGATCTCGGATGTGTCGAGACGACAAGCCGCGGATTCAGACAGGCAACGAGAGCTACAGGAGGAACGTGTGGAGGGATGGGACGTCCGGATGCAGGTCGACACTCGAGATTGCCTGGCGATGCGCGAAACAATCCGCAACAAGCGGAGACCGTGTCGCGGAAGGAACGGCGGGCGAACCTCGGTATCGAAAGCGTGCGGACGACGACAGTGGCGCGGGACGGAAGGAACACGGGAAGGTTGGAGGGCTCGTGGAGGCCATGAGACGAGTTCCAGACGAGCAGGTAGCGGGACATCCAACCACAGGACGCAGTCGAGGCACACACGCACGGGCAGCTGGCCAGAGCGAGGGAGCAGAACGGACTCGCGAGGAGATTCCTTACGGTGAATGGTTCGATGCGCATCTACAAGCTGCAGGGGCGAGGTACAAGACTGCCGACAGCAAGCGTGCCGAGGTCCGGGATATCGACGATAGCCAGTCGGAGGAGGCGGAGCTAGGGAAGAGAGGACCCGGGGTGACCACTGTCCAAGTGTATGGACTAGGGCCTGCGCAGTTCACTACTGGGCGACTAGTCTCTCAAGTTGCGGAGGACGAAGACGCCATCCCCGAGTCACGTTTCTTGAGGTCGAACAGGACCCCCGGTCTATCCAGCCTGTTCGCATGCAATACTATTGGGCGACATGCGCTACGGGAAGTGACGGGCGGTACTCGAGCGATCGGAGGTGGTTGTCACAGGCGAGGACCAGTACAGCTGCGAGGCAACGATGAGCGGAGGGAGACGACTCAGTGGCAGAGCAGGGGAACGAGGGCTCGAGACCAGAGCACGGATGGGCGGAGGCCGGCGAGGAATGGAGTACACCGAAGGCAAAGACCAACAGCATAATTGGTGATGGAGCACGACCTCAGGCCGGAAAGCAGTGGCGGATCGATCAAGCGAAGCGGGGGATCGCGGGGCACGTACAGCAGTCGGGTCTGGGTTGATGCGGAGGCATGTACCGGTCGCCCTGTATCGGCCTGGCGAGTCGAGACATCTCAAGCGAAGTGAAGCGAGGTCAGAGCCGTCTTGCGGGCGTACCAAGTGTGGCGAGACGAGATATTCCATGAACCTCAAGTGCGACTCGAAACGCTCTTGCGAAGCGATGAGGCAAGGTCCGGGAACGAGCGCTATTCGAGACGCAAGCGAGCGAGAAGGGAGGCGTAGGCCTCAGACTGCCATGGACGCCTGCGTCGGGAACCAGTCGAACATGCACACGAGAGAGGCACGACGCTGAGAATGTTATTACGGCGAACGAGCTCAGTTGGCAAGCGGGCGAACCCGGCCGCAGAACCTGATGAGGGGTTTCGTCGGAAGCCGGGGCAGGCACAGGAGAACCGGAGCCCAGTAGGAACCAGAAAAGACGGACCAGGGACAGGGGCCGAGGATACGGAGGCGATGGACGAGTACACGCAGACCAAGCAGAGGGGACGGTCGAGTGCATGCGGACGGCGACCACGAGTCAAGCCGTACAGGTGAACAGGGGCGAGGTCAGCACCAACGGGGCTCGCGTGGACCGATAGACTACCTCCAGAACACTCCGCAGCGGACGAGCTGGCGCAAGGGCAGGACGACACGGACCAGGCGCGAGCTTCAGAGCGCAGAGTCCAGGGTCCAGCCGAGGCGTCAAGCACGCATATGGAGAGAGGGATGTCAAGTACGAGAGAGAGGGAGTGGCGCAAGACGGGGGAGCGACGTCCTACAGTGAACTCGTTCGGGACCAAGTAGCCGAGGACTGGGGCTCACCGACATACCAGACGAGACACGTAACGGTGGGAGGACGTTGCGCAGGCATCGGAGTTGGACGGCAGGAGGGACCTCGAGCAGGATTTCGAAGTCAACCAGCCAAATGGATCCGCAGACATGACGAAAACTATTGCAACGGGAGCGGGAGGGGCCGTACGAGCTCACGGCGCGATGGAGGCCGAGCGAGAGGACGGGCGAGTACGCACTGAGCGCAGTCGCGAGTCCGATTCTACAAGTGAACCTGCTCGAGATCAGCCAGCCGAACTCTGGCGACGTGAGGACATACCCGCAGGAGCAGACACGCACACGCGGCTGGGAGAGAGCCAGGGCCAGAATGAGCCGAGTACGAGAGAGCTGAAGGACGGATGGTGGGCGATAGTGGGACCCGCGGGGGATGAAGGGCGAGGGAAGCTTCAGCCAAACATCGTCAACATGCGGAAGAAACAGACGCACAACGTGAGCAAGAACCGTACACGGGGAGGCTGCGGCGAAGCGGTCTGGCAAGTTGGGGTCACAGATCAGCCGTCAACCGACCCTCACGACGTACTGGATATCTCGTGCAGCGACGCAGGTGGAGAAAATCCTGCACACGGAGGAGTACGGTGGGCGGTGCGGATACCACGAGAGACGGTGTAGTGAACTGGTGCTACAGTCAGGGCCCGGGATCAGCGAGCAACCTTCACGGACTCAGCACATACCATGGCAAGGACGCGGGTACCGGTGCAGCAGCAGCAGGTGAACTGGGGTGAGCGTCGAGCCGAGTATGGGGAGCGGCGGATGAACGTACCGGCCTGGGAGACGTGAGGGCCGGACATGCCGCCGCGGAAGGGTTGTCAAGCGGCCCAGACGACGCGCGCTCCAAGTACGAATGGACGAGCAGTACGCCGGGATGGCGAACCGACCGGGTGCATGTGGTTTATGGAGATAGCCAGCAACCGGACCATTCGCGAATTGCGGACGTACCGTGCAGATCGGGATGGCAGTCGTGCATACTACCGCCAGCGAGACGACCATGGGCAAGCTTAGCTTAGAAGAGGGACAACTTGAAGCGAGGTCGCTCGGCTGCGCAAGTTACAGGACAGCTAGGTGCGAGGACTCAGGACGGACGTCTGGTCGACTGGACCTACGTCGAGGAGCGAACGCCTGAAGTCAGCGGGATATTGATCACGGTCGACCTACACGGACACTGCACCCAAAGTGACGTGCAGATTCAGCTGCAGTTCAAGCGCTACCGGCGGAGGAGGTGAGATTGAAGAGAGCAAGGAGAGCGTGGCTCTCGGAGACTTCGGCAGTTCGACGGGCCAGAACAGGCACCCGAGGACGACCTCGTCGCATGCTGCACATTGGAGGACGGCGCGGCTATGGGAACATCGCCGAGCCGAAGCCGAGTGCCCTGCGCGAAGTGAGCGGCAGACAATGGTCCAGAGGACGACACACGCCGTGACGAGATACGAGCGGAGCGAAGGCTAGCGAGTACTGGTACACGACGGTACGATCGGGTAGATGTCGGATAGCCAAGGAGCGCCGAGGACTCGACAGTGGAGACTGGCAAGCAGGCGCCAGGAACCCAAACGCACGGTCCGCGAACGTGAGCGACACAGAGTGCGGATCGAGTATGGGGGAGCTCGGAACGAGGTAGACCTGTGGTCAGCCGGACAGGGTGGTCGAGCGGGAACGTGGGCTGCAGAGTGCTACTCGTTGGGTCGGCCGAGCTGAACATCCCGGACGAAGCGCACGATGACGGCTAGTAGCTTTGTCACCTCGAGACACGGCAGTGGATCATCGAATTCTTCCGGCGACGATCGAAGAGGCGGTTATAGGCAGATCCAGTTGCGCGGTGGTTCATGCGCAGTTAGGTGCGACGAGAGGAACACCGCAGACAACATCGACCGGAACAATCGACGTACCGGCGCACAGCAGGCGAGGGACGACACGATGGCCTCGGGCAACGCGACCGTCGCGGACGATCATAGACTGGACTCGCCGGAGAGTGCTACTGGTCGAGTGCGCTGAGCTCAGGTCCCAGAAAGGTCTGCGATGAAAATAGTCCAGCTGCTGCACTTGGATGAGAACGGGCATCGGATGTGGAGTACCTGCCGTGCAGAACCAGAGAGGGCAATTGTCAGACAATCGAGACTGCGGCTGGCTTGACGAGGAACGGTGCACGACGGTGAAGCGGAGTTTGGGGACACATATAGAAGAGGCAAGCTAATGACTCGCGTCATTCATGTGCAATGGATCGCTCTTGGTTAGGCAGTGTTGCTGTCGCGGCGGGGAGTGGGTGACCGGGGACGGTCACAATTCGAGTAAGGGGGAGATGTGGGGAGTGCCCCCACATAGGCCCGGACAGTACGTATATCCCTTATTTTGAGCTACCTGGTCAGTGCCATTCCCTCCGAGCATATTGACAACCTTCGCTATTCCTTCCGATACCCACATTTCTATTGTACCTGACGGACTTCGTGCGATTTCGCATTACTTACCATATATAGCAAGTACCTACTATTAGTCAGCTTCGGCGGCATACAGTGCCACGAAGACATGTACATAGCTCAGTTCTCCCCACCTCCGAATCTAGACATCTGCGAGCACAGCTTGTGGGTCCCTCATACATTTGTTGGATGGGAGAGCTCCCCGGGTTGGTCAACAGTGACCTTCTTGGGCAATCAAGGATCTTCGGACGTGCACGGTGCCACGTAATCGAGAAAAGACAGTCCTACGCTTGGAGGCCAGGACAGCTCGGAGGATACAGGACCCGGACAGGGACTCGCGGAACGAGTACAGGAGCTTGCGGAACGAGTACGGGAGCCTGCGGAACGAGTACAGAAGCTCGCGGAACGAGTACAGGAGCTCTCGGAACGAGTACAGGAGCTCGCGGAACGAGCATAGGCGGCTGCAGAACGAGCGTAGGAGCTCGTGGAACGAGCGTAGGAGCTCGCGGAACGAGCGTAGGAGCTTGCGGAACGACACAGGAACCCGCGCAAGGAAGGCGACCGGAACGAGAACGAGACAACCGCGGAACGAGTTTAGCGACTTGAAGGGCAGCGACTGCAGAGCCAGAGTGGGCACCTTCGGAACGAGAACAAGGACAAGAACGAGACAGAGCTTTAGAGTCCACGGAGCGAGTTGGGAACGGAGTCGTCAGCGAGGCTTGGAGAACCGAGGACAAGGTCAGTAACCCTGAGGCATCGTTGCAAGATCATTTCTCGGCACATCTCCCCTCCACTCTCAAACCCCTTCCACCCATGTCACCTCCAATCTGGGACAGCGAAATGACCCACCCCTCGAACATCGCGCCCGGGGGTACCACACTCCCGAGCTACACAGCGACCTATGCACCCGACGACCCGAAACTTCGGAGCAGCGCCTACGAAGTTTAAGAACCGGGACGGCTCGTATACGAATCTTGCACCTGTAGTTCAGGCCCAGCTGGCCGAGTCCGTCTTCAAGCTCCATGAGCACGCCAACGGTCCCGCTGACCATCGAGGAGTGTTGAGCATCTCGCCCGAGCTTCGCAACCGCTATCGCGAAGCGTGACGCCCCGAAGAGTGACGCATGACTCGAACCCGACCTCGACGAACATGGCTGCGTTCGAAGAACTTCCGACACACGACCCGCGTTAGTAGACTGCCACGACAACGAGCTCGACCCAGACGCCACCATCATCCCAG